TAGTAGAATGTATAGAGCACTGTCAGCCGAGTTTTCTCTATTCCCCCTTCCCTGCCATTTATATGTTGAAACCCTAACTCCTAAAGTATCACAATGTGACTGTCTTTGGAGATAAGGCCTTTAAAGGGGTGATTGAGAGGTCTTTAGAGTGGATCCTAATCCAGTTTGACTGATGTCCTTATAAGAAAGAAATTTGGACACACATCCTTGAGGGATATGCATACACAGAGGAAAGACCATGTGAGGATGCAGTGAGAAGTCAGCTATCTGCAAATCAAGGAAAGGGGCCTCAGAAGAAACCAAACAAGCTGACACCTTGATCTTGGACTTCTAGCCTCCAGAACTATGAGAAAATAAAATTCTGTTGTTTAAGCCACCCAGTCTGAGGTATTTTATTGTGGCAACCCTAGCAGACTAAAACAGTGAGTGATCTAGTATTTTTGCATCCTTGGCAGTGTTTGTTTTTTTGACTTTTTAATTTTAGCCATTCTGATAGGTATGTAGTGATGTTTCACTGTGGTTTTACTTTACATTTTCCTAATGATATTGAACATCTTTTCATGTGCTTATTTGTCATCTCTGTGTCCTTTATCGTGAAATGTCTTTTCACATTTTTTACCCATTTTCTGTTTGGATTGTTAGTTGTTGCACTGTTGAGTTTCAAGCATTCTTTTATATATTCTAGGTACTAGTTCTTTGTTAGGTATGTGGTTTGCAAGTATTTTTCCCACTCTGTAGATTGTCTTTTCATTCTCTTAATGTGGTCTTTCACAGATCAAAAGTTTTTAATTTTAATGAGGTCCAGTTTTTTAGTTTTTCCTTTTATAGATTGTGCTTTTGGTGTCAAATCTAGCTTAGCTCTAGATCCTGAAAATTGATTCCTAAAGTTTTAGAAAAAATTTTTCTTAAAGTTTTATAATTTTCTGTTTACATGTAAGTCCATGATCCATTTTGAGTTAATTTTTGCATAAGGTGTGATCAAGGTTCATTATTTTTGCCTATGCATATCCAGTTGCCCCAGAACCATTTGTGGGAAAGGCAATTTTCATTGAATTGTTTTTGAACCTTTGTCACAAAACGATTGAGCATCTTTGTATTTTCGGGTTCTCTGTTCTGTTCCATTGATCTGTGTGTTTACCCCTCTGCCAGTGTCACAGTTTTGATTGCTACAGTGTATAAGTCTTGAAATCTGGTAGATGAATTCCTCCTGTTTTTATTCTTTTCTTAAATTTTTTTAGCTATTCTAGTTCCTTTGCTTTTCTGTATACATTTTAGAATAATCTTTATGTCTACAAAGAATCTTAACAGGAGAGATTTTGTTAGAAATTACATGAAACTCATGTATCAATTTGGGGAGAATTGATATCTTTACTGTATTGTCTTCCAATCCATGAACATGATATGTCTCTCTGTGTTTTATAGATCTTCGATTTCTTTCATCAGCATTTTGTATTTTCAGTATGGAAGGATTGTACATCTTTTGTTAGATTTATACCTAAGTATTCCATTTTTTGAGTAATTATGAACAGTGTTATTTTTCAGTGTTCACATGCTTTTATTGCTAGTATATAGAAATATAATTGGTTTTTGTATATTAGTCTTGTATCCTGCAATCTTGCTGAACTCACTTATTCTAGGAGTTTTTGGTAGATTCCTTGGGATTTCCTACATGAACATTGTCCTCAACGAGGCAGTCTTATTTCTTCCTCTTTGACTTGTATGCCTTTTATTTCTTTACATTGTCTTATTGCACTGATTAGAACTTCTCGTACTATGTTGAATAAGATTGGTGAGAGTAGATGTACTTGCCTTGTTCTTTATCTTAGGGAAGAGCATTCAGCCTTTCACCATAAAGTATGTTAGCTGTAGGTTTTTTTGTATAAAGTCTTTATCAAGTTGAGTGTGTTCCCCCCCCTTTCATAGTTTTCTGAGTTTTTATCATGTATGAATGTTGAATTTTGCCAGTTGTGTTTTCTATAACAATTGATACAGTTACGTGATTTTTCTCCTTCATCCTGGTACATGGTGGCTTACTTTGATTGATTTTTGAATGTTGAACCAGCTTTGCATCCCTGGAATAAATCCCACTTGATTATCACCTTTTTATATATTGCTGAATATTATTTGCTGCTATTTGATTAAGGGTTCTTACGTTTATATTCATGTCTTTGATTTTCGTAGTAACACTAGCTTTAGAAGATGAATTGGGAAGTGTACCCTCTTCCTCTGTTTTCTGGAATAGATTGTGTAGAATTGATATAATTCCTCTCTAAACATTTGGTAGAATTCTCCAGTGAAAACCATTTGGGTTCAGAGATTTTTTTTGAATTCTGTAAATTATAAATATATTTTCCTTGATAGCCTTTAAACAGCTATTCGTATCATCTGTTTCATATTAGGTGAGTTGTAGTTTTTATTTTTTGAGAAAGTGACCCATTTAGTATGAGTTGTCAAAGTAAAGTGTGTAGAGATGTTCATGGTACTCCTTTCCCCTTTTGCTGTCTTCAGGCTATAGTGATAATCCTTGTTTCATTATTGATACTGGTAATTTGTGTTTCTTCTCTCTCTCTCTTTTTCCTTTGCTCCTTTTTTATCCTGCCTCCTTAAGGTTTTTTGCTCTTGAGATGGGGGCTTAGATTATTGATTGGAGATTTCTTCTCTTCTGACATAATGACATATGCATTTAGTGTAATAGCTTTTCACATTTAGTGTAATAAGTAATAGCCATGCTCCACATTTTTTGATATATTGTATTTTTATTTTCATTCAGTTCAGTGTAGTTTTTTTCCCCCTTGAGACTTCCTGTTTGACCCTATGGGTTATTTAGGAATGTGTCACTTAGTTTCCAAGTGGTTGAAGATTTTTCCATTTACCTTTCTATTAGTGATTTCTGGTTGGATTCCATTGTGGTCAGAGAATCATCTGTGTGATTTCAGTTATTTTTAACTTGTTGAGGTGTGCTTTATGGCCTAGAGTCTATCTTAGTATGGTCTATCTTAGTGTATGTTCCATGGGCATTTGGAAAGAAATATATATTCTGATGTTGTTTGGTGGAATGTTCTATGAACGTTAACTACATCATGTTGGTTGACAGTGTTGTTGAGTTCTGTATCCTTGATGATTTCTGTCTAGCTGTTCTATCAAATTTTTTTTATCAATCTTTTTTTTATTGAAGTATAGTTAGTTTACAATGTTGTGTCAGTTTCTGGTGTACAGCATAATAGTTCATACATATACGTACATACATTTATTTTCATACTCAGTTTCATTATAGGTTACTACAAGACATTGAATATAGTTCCCTGTATATATAATAACTATAGCAAATACCAAAACACTTTACTGTATGGAAGAAACTTGTTGTTTATCTGTTTCACGTATAGTAGTTAGTATCTACAAGTCTCGAACTCCCAATTTATCCCTTCCCACCTCTCCCCCAACTGGTAACCAAAAAAATATGGAACGCTTCATGAATTTGTGTGTCATCCTTGCACCAGGGCCCTGCTAATCTCTGTCATTCCAATTTTAGTATATGTGCTGCCAAAGTGAGCACTGTTCTATCAATTGTTGAGAGAGGGATGTGGAAGTCTCCCATTATGATTCTGGAGCTGTCTTTTCAGTTCTTTCAGTTTTTGCTTCATGTATTTTTCAGTTCTGTCATTTGGTACCAACATGTTTAGGATTGCTATGTCTTTTTTTTTTTTAAACATTTTTTATTGATTCATAATAATTTTACAATGTTATGTCAAATTCTAGTGTAGAGCACAATTTTTCAGTTATACATGAACATATATATATTCATTGTTACATCTTTTTCTCTGTGAGCTACCATAAGATCTTGTATATATTGCCCTGTGCTATGCAGTATAATCTTGTTTATCTGTTCTACATTTTGAAGTCCCAGTCTGTCCCTTCCCACCCTCTGCTATGTCTTCTTGATGGGTGACCCTTTTATCATTCTGTAATATACCTTTCTGTCTCTAATAATTTTCATTGCTCCAAAGTCTATTTTATCTGATATTAATATAGCCACTGTTGCTTTCCTTTGGTTAATGTTTATATGATTTATTTTTTTCCATCCTTCTACTTTCAGTCTACCTTTATAGTTGTATTTGAAGTGTTTCTTTTTTTCCCAGCTTTTTTTAAACAAATGTAGTTGATTTACAATGTTGTGTTCAGGTGTGCGGCAAAGTGATTCAGTTATACATGTGTGTATATATTCTTTTTTTCATTCTTTTCTGTTATGCGTTATTACAAGATGTTGAATATAATTCCCTGTGCTATACAGTAGGTCCTTGTTGTTTTGTATATTTATAAAATAGTCCTTGTCTATTTTGTATATAGTAGTGTGTATCTGTTAATCCCAAACTCCTAATTTATCCCCTGAAGTGAGTTTCTTTTAGATACCATATAGTTTCTTATAGGCATCATGTAGTTGGATCATGTTTTTTAATTCACTCTACTAATATGTCTTAATGTATTTAGGCTTTAGTGTAATTTTAGATGTGTTACAGTTTAAGTGTGCCATTTTATTTATTGTCTTCTGTTTATCTCTCTTTTTCTTTTCTGTTTTTTTCTTTCTCTGTTTTCTTCTTTTCCTGTGGGTTACTTGAGTTTACTTTAGAATTCCATTTTGATTTATCTATTAGGTATTGGATGATACATAAAATCAGTTTTAGTGTTTGCTATAGGTATTATATATACAAAACCTATTATAGTCTGCTGTTGTCATTCTACCAATTTGAGTGAAGTATAGAAGCTTTACCTTCCTTTTCACAGTAAAGGATACAACAGTAATTTGTCTTAAAATGTTTTGTGCACATATATTTAGAACCACATGAGACAGTTATAACTTTTCTTTTGTCAGACATAATTTAGAAAAGTCATGAGAACAAGGAAAGCCTATTGTATTTACCTATTTTTTTAACTTTTTTTTATTTATTTACAATCATTTTACACTGTTGTGTGAAATGTATTTACCTATATTTTCACCTAACTGTTTTTTTTTTCTTTCCTGATATTTGGAAGTTCCTTCTCTTATTATCATTATTTTTTTCTGTTTAGAGAACTTATTTTAGTTATTTTTAGAGTATGTCTGTGGGGGACAAATTGGCTTGGTTTTTTTTTCATCTGAAAAGGTCTTACTTCTCTCTCATGACTTAAGGTATTTTTACTGAGTATAGCACTTGAATAATATTGGGCCACTTCCTTTTGGCCTGCATGGTTTCTGATGAGAAATCTCTGTCATTTGAGTTGTTTTTCCCTTATGGGTAAGGTTTTGTTCTTTCTTGAAAGCTTTCTTTGTCCTTAGTTTTCAGAAGTTTGTGATGTGATGTGGCATAGATTTCTTTGGGTTTATTCAATTTAGGGTTTATTCAGCCTCTTGAACCTGTAGGTTTATGTCTCTTGCCATACTTCTTTAAGTACTTTTTTAGTCACCCCCTCTCCCTTTCGTCTTTACTTCTGGGACTCCAGTGACACAAATATTAGATCTTTTGTTGTAGTCCCGCAGGTCCCTAAGGATACCTTTATTGGTTTTTCAGTCTATTTTCTTCCTGTTGTTAAGATTGGATAATTTCTGTTCTCTCTCCTAGTTCATTGGTTTTTTTTCCCTCTGTCCCCACTATTCTGTTTGGAGTCCATCTACAGAGCTTTTTTAAATTTAGTTATACTGTATTTTTCAGTTCTAAAATTTCCATTTGGTTCTTTATATCTTCTATTTCTTTGCTAATATTTTTTTCTTTGTTGAAACTTTCTATTTTTTCATTTGTTTTGAACATGTCATAATTGCGCATTGAAGCATTTTTATCATGGCTGCTTTAAGATCTTTGACAGATAATTCTAACAGCTTTTCATGTGGTCTCCACTGACACAGCAAGGATGAGGGGCACTGGAAATATGGGGCTCATTATCAGATGAAAGTTGTGGCTCTGTATTTGGCCTTTGTGACACCTGCTCCTAGCTGTACCTCATTATATACTCAAGAGGATGGAAGTCTAGGCACCCATTCAGCCTTTTCTGGCATGAGTAGAGGTGAGGTCATGTTTTTTTTTTTTTTCCTGTTGTTTGGCTAGAGTAGCGTTGTTATTGCCTAAAAGTTTTCTTTCTTGCTAGACTGTCTCTTCCTGGTCTTTTGGCTTAAGAGAGATACATGAAGCAAAAAGAAAGTCCAAGAAACTCACCACTGACTCGTTCCTTAGGTCCTTAGGTTCCTAGGCAGTCTGCCTTCCTCTCTCCACCTTTCATAGATTTCTTATGATTGTTTTATGTGTAATGTTTAGGGCTTTCAGTTGCACTTAGTGGGAGGAATAGGGTAAAGTACATCTTCTTGGAAGTAGAACGGCCTGTCATTCCTTTAAAAAAAACCTGTGACTCTCCATTGCCTGTAGATGAATATCTTAAGTTTCTTAGTCTGTCATTCAGGAACCTTCCCAAACTGTACACAATCTTAGCTTTTCTTTCTATTTCCAGTTACTCCTTCACACCATCATACTGAACTTTATTCTGTTACAAACGGATTCTGCAGTTCTAGTCTTTATACCCTGACCTTGACCAATTTTTCTTTGGCTTGAAATGCCTCATTCCTTCATCTCAAGGCTATTAATTCTCACCTTGTAACTTGCAAACTTTATTAGGTGTTTGACTGCATCATCAGTTGTTTTGGAGGATATGAAGCTAAAATTGTTGTAAAATGTCAAAACAGTGTGTTCTGTATTATAATAATTCCATATTCTTTTTCAAGTAAGGGAATCATTGTAATTTTAGTTGTTAAAATATTTGCATCACCAGCAAATGATCATGGAAGACCTACTCTGTTGAATAATAGACTTAAACACTGAAATGCTGTTAGGTAATTTAGAGATTTACATTTACTTGAATGACAGTTCTTGAGGAAACAATATTATTAGTGCTAAATGATACTTCAGTATTTCAGTCTGTGTTAATAATTGCAAAGACATGGCCAATAGTTTTGAATCCTAGCAGCATGTTATTGTCAGCTGGGACACTTTAAAACAATTCCTTTGCCCAAGTCCAAACCCCAGAGATTCTGATTCAGTTAGCCTGCAGAGGATATATTTTTTTCCTCTCTATATATTTTTATTGAAGTATAGTCAGTTTACAATGTTGTGTCAATTTCTGGTGTACAGCACTTGAGTCATAATGGGAGCATTTATTCATTTTCACGCAGTGGATAACTTTTAAAAGCTCCCCAAGTGATCTGATATATATAGCTGGGTCTAGAATCAGATTATCCAAAAATATAAGTGAACACCAGTGATTTCAGTTACGTTTAAGGTTTTGTCCTGGAATGCTTCCAGCTATGCAGCTTTGAACTTTGTCTTCCAATGTTTTTACTTTAGCATATTTTAAAAATCCATGTTGTATATCCTGCAAATGACTCACCCATGAGATCGTGGTATAAAGCATTATATGAAATATCATCTAGTTTGCAAAGAGAAGACAGCATTTTGTGAAAGTATTTCTTAAGACACCTAAAATTACTAAATCTAAGATTTTTTGAAAGATATATTTGAATAAACTGTTAATTTTCTTTTTTAAAAAGATGGTTGTAGAAACAGTGAGATAATATCGCATCCTATTTTACAGTCCATTTAACCTAGAGTTACTTGTTAATAGTATTAATCTAGGTGAGTATTTTTTGTAAAACTACAACACATAGGAAGAATATAGTATCTTAACTAGTTGTAAACAAGGCATTTGCCACTAGAGTAGAGAAATCAGACATTGGTAGTGACTAGTAAGCATAGCACTTGTGAATGTCTTATGATAAAATTGATGTAGGCATTTGACATCTAAGTAGTTAGTATGTTTCACTAAAATGGTTAACAGGACTTTCAGTTTCAATAATAAAATCGGTTACAGCTAAGGAAAGAAGGGCAAGTCAAAAGAAGAAAAAAAAAGAGGTCAGTTAATAGAGAATGTAGAGAAAAAAATAGGATCAAAGACAAGAATTCAATTAACTTTTGTGACAACAGAGCCTTTCCTATGAGGTGGAAGAAATTAGGTGCTCTAGTTTGTTCTTTATCATAGGAACACTTAGTTTGGCTTATTCTATATGACCTCTATAAGCAAAATATAGAAGATTATAAAATAACACTGACTTTTTTTCTAGAGTTAGTAATTTATTAAGTAATCTTTCCAGTAATATAGGAACTGGCATGACTGAGGGGACTACTTCAAAAGATCTGATGCTTTATATTAATTTAATGAATGATGGTGAGAAAATTGTTGAATCAATTTCAAATTAGTACTTGCTAGATTTTCTGTTTTTCTAAATATAGTTTATAATGTAAGTATAATATTTTATTTAATATATTTTAAATACTTAATATATTACTGATCATAGGAATTTTAAGGAAAAATCCATATTCCAGAGTTTTCATCATGCCAAAAGTTTTCTAGGGCTTATTAGTATCATTATACTTAGAGATTCATTTCAAAATTTGTACACTGTAGTTGTATCTCAGCCCTTATGGTAGGAAATAGAGGTGCCAACTTCTGTAGACTTGTCTCTGGTGAGCTAGGCTAGGG